GTTATCTCTTATGTCAGTATTTTTGAACTCACTCTTTTTCCTCTGATTTATAGTACCTTAATAGGACTCTTTCTGGAAGTAAGCCTCAACCTCACTCTTCATCACTTGTCATTCATCTGTCTGTGTGCAGACATCTGCACTTCATTCCCCTTAGACCTTCTTCAAGCATCCCTTTCTCCCCTGTCCTATTCAAAGCTTTCTGTTATTAGGAGCATTAACTGTAGTCCCAAGAGTTATCCTTATTCTAAACACAAAAAGTATCCTGTCCATTCCTTGAAGGATTGTTTGGAGATCTTGGTTCTCTTGCTAGTATTATATACAAACCTCTGCCTACAAGCACTTTTGTACTTCTAATTCTAATATAAAATTCTCACTTGTTGAACATACTTGTGACTTGCAATTTTACCAGTCTCACTTTAAGAAGAGCATCAGTATGACAGGCTCTGACCACAAGTATGTTTGATAAAATACTCTGTGGGGATAGAGCTGGTTTGGGCTGATAATGAACCAGCCTTAGGCAGTAACTTAAGACTCTAGGAATCAAGCCTGTAGGTAGGACATTAGCGAGCCTGTTCATATAAGGTTGTGCTTCCAAAATGGTCTTAGTTCTCTCCCCTGACTGGTTGTTGTTTGCCCTATTATTTTTTTCATATTCCTAATCCTGGTTTGTGGTTGGAACCCTGCCTTCGGATCATCAGATCTTTCTTATATGTATACTTTGTAGCCACCCTTTTTTTCACCTCTTGTGGTTGAGTCTGTACTGTGTGTTCACCTTTTGCTGTTTGTTATTTTGCCATTAAAGTGGTTTTACTTTTTGTGTCACCCAATCGTGCCTGTCCTTTTACTTGCCACACCACTCCCGGCTGCCCCGGGTGCGAGGTCGTGAGAGCCAAAACATGACGATATTCTAATTGCTTATCAGCCATAAATTGGGTTTTATAAGAAGACATTTCCTCTCTCTAGAACACTGTCATTTTTGGCCAGAATGAACATTATGCTACCTGCAGTTACAGTTTAATTTTTCAGATGAGCACAAGTATCATAAAGATAAGCTGCTGCCTTTTGATTATGTTTGAAGTACTCATGTTTTCTAACTTGCTCCTATCTAATGGATACCTGTCAAGATTTCCAGTGTTGAATTTCCCTGAACCCAAAGAAATTTTTAAAAGAAATTATAAAAAAAAAAATAAGGGAAAGAAAAATATAAATAAGAGACTACATTGCAGGCTGATGCCTGCAATCACTACTGCCTAGAGGCAAAAGAAACATGAGGGAACAGCACTGTGATGTCTATAAAACATGAGACAACACAGAGGTATTTTGGGGAAACATCAGCAAAGCATTTTTTTATGGAAAATATTTTCATCATGAAGTCCAATGATTATAAGATGTAAAAAGCAAAAAAAATTCTGACTGAGTCTTCCTATGATAATTTGTCAAGTTAAAATGCACTTAACTGTGCCTTCCTGTTGCCTGTGAAAAAAAATTAATAACAGCAACTAAAACAAAGAGTAAGAATTTATTTCATGAATGTCACTGCAAAGAAAGGTGAAAAACAGTGAAGTAAGTTGCTCATTTTACAGAATCATAGAGTAACCAAAGTTTGAAGGGACCTCTAAAGGTTTCAACTTTTTATAAGTTTCAACTTTTCAACCACATCCCTGGGGAGGTTGTTACAGCAAATTATTCTATTCATTGTAAAAAAATTCTTTCTTACATTGAAACGAGACCTCTCCCAGTGCAATTTGCAGTGTTTCTCCCCTATTTTCTCCAGTTGCTACTTCTGAAGAGAGAGCCTCAGTCATCTGTAGAGCCAGCCTTTAAGCACTGGAATACTCGGATGAGGTGCCCCTTGAGCGTTCTCTTTTCCAGGGAGAAAAGAACTGACTCTCTCAGCCTTTCCTAATGACCCTTCTTTGGACTGTCTCCAGTCTATCCAGATTCTTCTTGAGTAGTGGCAACCAGAACTGGACAAGGTATTTCAGGAGCATCCTGACAAGCATGGAGCAGAGTCATTCTAAGGCAATGAAAATAGTTGCTGTAAATGATAATTCATCATTTATCAGGGAACAGTAAGATGGCATTATACATGGAAAAGAAATGATTATAAAAGAATCTGAAAGATCTAGAATAAACAGAAAGTTTCTTTTCTTAAGTTGCATTTTTTCTTGTGTTTTCTTACCTCCTCCTATTCATGTTTTTTTTCCATGATGCATTACCCTTCTTATACCCACAGAAATATTATACCTTTTCTACATGGCTATTTTATAACTTTATAGGAGCCTTCATGTTTCATTCTCTGAATCCAAATGTATTTTGTGACTTTTGTTTCATAAATAAATATAATAATAAAAGTAGCAGTGAATATCTGCAAAGAACAGACCTGCTTTGTCCTTGCAGAGATATATAATTGTAAGTGTTGAGATGAATATGCAGAAGGTAAATTAAGAAATTGTTTGGGTATTGACAGTGGTTTATTACTATGAAACACAACAATAAAAAAGAAAGAAAGAAACAAAAAAAGTACCCAGAAAAATAGCAGACGCATAATGGTATCCTTGAGAGGATACGTTAGGAAAGCTAGAGCAGCAGAGGTATTAAAGCACAGTAGTTTAGATAATGAATTCAAATAAATTGTCTTCATCTTTGTGCCTTCATTGTCACCAAAGTACACTGTGATAAATGAAATAGATTTGTCTGATGGAAATCATAAACATTCATATTTAATAAACAGTTATTAACACTTCTATAATATTGCTCTTTTATGTTCATTACATGCTCATTGCAATGCAGCAAGTTTATTTCCTATCTCATTTCTCCACTGTCATTGTGTATTGCAAACCTGTGCAAGACAGGTCTATTTTTTATGTTGTACTGTACAGTATGTGAGTAACGCTCAGATCTTAATGGAAGTGTCACATCATTTTCAGATCAAATTATCTGGTTTTAACAGCTGAGGGGAATCAAATTAATCAGTAAAATTAGAATACAAACTAAATACAAATGTTGTGGTTCCCAAGATGTTGACTGAAATACTTGGAGGTCACGTTTACCAGTTATCACATTAAAAGGCTTACTGGGGTGCTCTATTACTTGTCATTAGTAGTCCTATATTAGGAGCATGCATAAAGGTTCAAACTGCTAGGCAAGAACATGGCTCAAGTGAATTTAATGGCACAAATAATAACTCAGATTTTATTTTTTTTCTTATTAGTTTCTTAGAAACTGAGGTCCAGGAACAGAACAGAGAAGGTCAGAATATTTACTCCATTTTTGCCCTTGATACAAGCAAAATATTTACTTCAGAAAATCAAGGCTAGAATCTTCTAGAAAACAACTTCACAACACTTTGGAAGAATCTGGACAACCATCAGTATGTCTGGACCTATTCCTTTATATATCTCTTTTCTAATTTTCCTTCTGTGTGACTAAACTACAGGAGTGTGTCTTGTTTTTCTAGAATAATTCATAAACTGCCAGAAATAGGACATTGAGTCCAAATGTACGAGACTCTTAGAATATATGTTAATCTTTACCCTCTTCTCTCTGCACTCCCAATACACCCAAAAGCTGCTCATTATCTCAAAACCATCTGCTTTCAGTCTGCCATGGGGTTTACAATTACTATATCAGGAGCACAGAAAAAAAGACAAAAAGATATTGTGGTGGGTTGATCCTGACTTGATGCCAGGTGCCCACTAAAGCTCCATTAAGCCCCTCCTCAGCAGGACAAGAGAGAAAAAATATGGCTAAAGGCTCATGGGTCAAAGAAAGGACATGGAAAGATGCCTCAGCAATTACCCTCATGAGCAAAACTGAGTAAGCCTGGGAAAAAATAATTGAATCTATTGCAAATCAAACCAGAACAGAATACAGAGAAGTGAATTCAAATATAAAAGCACCTTTCCTCCACCCCTCCATACTTCCCAGGCTTAACTTTATTCCTGATTCTCGATCTCCTCCTTCTCAGTGGCACCGGGGGACAGAAATGGGGATTGTGGTCAGTTCATCAGTTCAATTTTCTCCTGCACAATACTTTTTTTCCTTCTTAACTTTGCTATCACAGAGATGCTGGTACTGTCAGTGATGGGCTCAGACTTGGCTGGAGGAAGGTCCCTCTTGGAACCAGCTGGAGGTGGGTCTGTTGGACAAGGGGGAATCTTCTGGTAGCTTCTCATAGATGCTGCCCCTCTAGCCCCTTGTCATGCAAACCCAACACAGATATTTCAGCTTGATAAAGTTTTTTAGACCAGGAGACTTTAGAGGGTCCAGGGTTAAAAGCCAGGAATGGCTTGATCATTTACTCTAAGCACAGAAATAACTTATGATACCAACAGTAGTTGTGACATGAATGACACGTTATATACACCAGCACACAAAAATCTAGACAAGTACACACACTTTTTATATATACTTATTTATATTTTTATTCAAATTTATATTAATATATTTTTTAGATCCTACTTTTAAATGCTTTACTTCTTTTGTTCAGGCATCCATGAGGAATCCTAATGTTTTAAAAAAAGGCACAAAGGCTCTTCTGATGTTATCTTCAATGTTACTTGTTCTACAAGAAAAACTTGACAGAGTTTAAACTGTGGCATTGTTCATTTGCATAACTTATTGATCATAAAGCAGTTAGACATCTGCTATTTATTGTCCTTGCTTTACTACTGGCCATGCAGGTGAAGAAGATTTTGTGTAATTTTGATGGAACAAGGAGGATTCTCAAGTACATGTTTTACAATAATTTCTCAGATGTGAATAGAAATTAGATATATATAGATCTTTTTCCTTCCCAGTGGAGAAAAAAAAAAACACTAAAAAAAATAAGTGCAGTAATTTTACAAATGGAGAAAAAACATGATTCTTTTTTTCATGCCAACGTAAAAACGAGGAAAAAACAATTTCCCAAATGATGAAAATAATCATCCATATAGATAAGAATAGAAACATATCTTCAATGTTTGCATATAAAGAAGTATATGAACTGTTTAGTATATTAAAATCAAATTTCAGCAGCGTCAGAATGCTCACTAATCAATTTCAGATTAATTTTCTTAATTGAAACTAATTCCAGTGATACTTTAATGTTGAACAGCACATGCTCAGGACATAATTTCTTATGCAGGATTTCCCCATGGGTATAAAACACTCTTTTTTAAAGTAGTTAAAAGATTAATGCTCATTAAGGATTAGAGGATTTTCAAGCTTCATCTTTTATAATAATTTTTTCAGTTAGTTGAGTGTCAAGACCCCTGAATATTAAGCTGTCTTTCAAAAGATGATACTGTTCTTCAAAAGATTATTTTTGACTCTTCCGTCTTCCTCCAGTGAAGTAAGTCAGTATGCAATCATACTAATTCATTTCTTTTCAGAGATGACAAGTGTTTGAAAATCTATGTAACAGTGGCATGCTTTTTATTATTGATACTATAAGAGATGCAAAGTTTATTGTCTGAGAAAGACATTTGCAATCCAGCATTGCCGTACAAATAGTGTGCTGTGATAATGATCACATATGCAAAATTAACTTATCTTGATTTACTGCACTTAGTTATTTTCCACCCTTTTCCACCTGCAGCATCTTGTTATAAATCCCAATTGAAATTTCTTTCAGATTTTCAAGTTATGATTTTATGCAGTAAATAATAAAAGTAGGGACTAATTCTTTGTGGAGATCCAGATCAACCAGCACTTTTTGACAACTGACATAGTTTGCTGTATATGAAGATGACAATTGCATTCTACCCAGATACAAATGTTTTAACCCATACTTTGGAGTACCAATTTTTACATCATAAAGGTTTTAGCCTTTAATTTGAACCTTCTAAGTTTGGAAAACCACCACCACTTCCATCTCTGATTTGTTCTGTGTTTTCTATTCAGAATTGTTTAACCATGAAGGAAATAAAACACTTCAAAAAGTGATCCTTTCCCCCAAAGCATGTACAGTGTGGGCAGCAAGTCCTCAGCCCTGATGCTTTCACTGTAGAAATGCGCTCACATTGGACTGCATTGCTCATTAATGCGGATGTAAACCATATCACCCAGGTTTCCCTATAGATGGATGAGAGAGGAAGGAACCACTAAGACTAACTCAGAACTTTTTATGGCTTAAATCAGCCTTAAATTTTGTTGAAATATGTGAAGTTAAGTTATGGCTTAGCCAGCATTTAACAATCTTTTTAACCTATTTAGCATGCAGAAAATAGAACATATGCATTTTGTCGAACAGTGTGTGATGTTTTTAACATATAATACCTTGAAAAATTCCTCAGAAAAATCTTGATAATGGAAACAGAGCAATTGTATTTTCCTATAAAAAACACATGAATTGTCAGATTCATTATCTTTCTAGCCTCTAGTACAAACATAAATATGAACACCATCTCAGACATTTTCTACTACTTGCTCAAAATTTTTGTCATGCTAACAAGCTTATTGGTCACACCACTTTTTGTTTCTAAGCACAAGAACAGCACTAATATTTTTTTCTAGAATTTATCTCATACTAAAATTATTATCTTATGATCCTCTCATCCCAGTCCTGAACTGAAGATAAGGTGAAATTTATTTGATGTTTTCTATATTAATATTGTTTTTACAAAGATGCTACCTAATTATTCCCTTATAACCAGAAATATTGCATTGTTTCCATGTGATTTATCTATCCATACCTATACCTATAATCTATATCTGTATCTATATCATCTATGTCTATATCTCTAACTTTTTTATCTTATACCAAGTAAGAATTTTGAACATTTCTTCATGTTTTGAATTGTTGTTAACAGATTGCCTGTTCTGACTAGGAATGGATTTACAGATTTATCAGGATTTTATCTCTGGAACATTTATTCTAAATGTGTTACAACATATTAATAAGTAACAGTTGTCTTCATAGCTTATTCTATTAGTCACAGACTTGACATTTTAGAATAATTCAGGCTGATATTTTCAGTCTTGTTTAGGTTGAAAACATAACACTAACTTTTCAGTTAAGTTTTCATCTGTAAGCGTTATAAGCAGTTATTTACTGATGATTGCAAAACTTATTGTGTAACCAATACATCTTTAAATGTATTTATTACGTTTTAAATATTACTAAATATTTAAATATGTCTTTAAATACAGTTATTCTATCAAGTGCCATGGAATAATAGTTATTCCATCATGTAGTTCTATCAAGTTACACTTTTTAGCAATAAAGCAGGTACTGAAGCTATGTTCTTACCCACTGCATTTTGTTTACAGCTTCAGAAAGCACTTCTAATACATAGCATTAAATATCAAATTCAGCAGTATGGATTTCCAGTTGACACCTAAGAACTTCACATAAGGCCTAGACAATCCAGGAACTGTCAGTATGCAGGTCTTCCATATGAAACAGAAAATAAAAAATAAACAAATATAAACATAGAGAAAGTACTAGCAACCAAAAGCAAAGACACATTTATACACATATATCACATTTTCATCTAGGCTTACTTGTGCATTTGTGTACACATATTATATGAAGATCTTTGTAGTTAAATAGACAAAATATAGTTAAGCAGTTTTATAATCCTATTCTACGTTGTTTGGTGAGCCACTGCATATTTTAATCTGAGTGGATATGTGACCTATATGAAGTATCTTGATTTTGGACTAAATTTTCTTCTCCCAAAATCAACTGGTTTGTAAAATGATCATCACATCTGAGTACATGCTGTAATTTCCACATTCTTCATTTTTGCAATGGGTTTTAGCAGTTAATGCTTATTTTAAGCTTCATAGCCTGGCATTATTAATCTGAACTTTAAAGAAAGTACAGCTTGTGTCTGTGGGTATTTCCAGTCATTTGAAATTAATTTGCCAAAGGAGCAAATAGCTCAATAATAGTACACAGGTGAGGAATTTATCTGGAAAAGGCTGTGCATACAGTATCTGGTGTATAAAAATCCCTTCATAAATTTCACCAATATGTTCATGTCTCGGGTATCTCAAAGGTCTCAAATTTCAGGTTGTCTCTTACTTGAGATATGCTGGATAACCCTCCTTGTCAATCACCAGTTATTGAGAGATTCTTTCTCTGTTGTACAGTAGGATACTAGCTCTCAAGATAGCCCTTGAAACTGGAACTTATATCCCACAATACTTAGCATAAATAATAATTTGGATCTTTTACACTTATCTGTGTAAAGATCTCTTTACATGCTAACTCTTGGGTGGGGGTATTTTTGAGGTAAAGTCATCTGGTTAACTGGTTGCTTAGAATTATTCTAAACATGATTAGACAAAAAAAAAAAAAAGACATTAATCCAAATTTGACAAAATACCTACATTATTTATGTTAAAAAAAAAAGGAACAGAAAAGAAAAAGATGTTCTTGATCTATTTATGCTGTAATTAATTTAAACTGAAAAGTTCACTTCCTGCAGTGAGTGACTTGTAGAATTCACTTTCCTTACAGATATTTTTCCAGATATTTTTTTCTTGATGCTACATATTACATTTAGAGCTAATATTATTTTTTTCAAGGATAGTTCATCTTCTCTCCTTAAACTTTTTTACATCTCCTCCTCTTCGTCCATCCTCTCATTCCACCACTTACTTAACATTAATAAACTAATTAAATTAATTTGTTTCCAAAATACAAATTGATAATTTCATTTCTTTGGAGATGCATGTACTGCCTTTTGAAACCATCTATACTTGAATGGTCAATTAACTCCATGACTAAAGGAAAAATTAGATAGGCAGTTTGTAATTTTCAGAATGAATTGTTTCTGTCTAGTGATGCATGGAATAATTTTGGTTGGGAACGACCTTTAGAAATGATGTAATCCAATCACTTGTTCAAAGCAAAACTAGTCTCATAGTTAGGTCATGTTGCTCAGGGCTTTGTCAAAGCATGTTTTTAAAATCTCTGAGTTCCGAGACTGGACAGCCTCTCTGGGCAGCTTGTTCCCACGCTTAGTTACTCTCACAGAGAAATATTTATTCTCTCATATTTATCTGGAACTGCCCTTACTGCAACTTCTGGTTGTTGTGTCTTGTCCTTTCACCATGCACCTTTGGGAAGAATCTTCCTCTCTCTTTGCAGGAAGCTGAAAACAGAAATTAAAATTTTCCCTTAGCTTTCTAGTCTCTATGCTAACCAAACCAAGTTCTTCCAGCCTTGAGCATCAGCTGCTCCAGACAATTATCCATCCTGGTCATTCTCCATGGGATGGACTCATTCCAGTTTCCTAGTGCCATTCATGTATGGAGGCAAGTTCTCCAGATGCAGGCTCACAGGTGGCAAGTGTAGCAGCAGCAACACTACCACCACCACTTCGCTTGTCTGTCCTAACCTGGAATTTTACTGCATTGAAAACTAAATGATCATCAGATTTTTATCATAGTAAGTCCCTCCTCCATTAATAGAAATGAAAAAAAAATACCCAAAAAACCCAAGCCAATAAAACTTGCAATTGTGAAATTTTAAAAATTGTGTGGATAAATGACTCCATCTTTTTGTCTTTCTTTGTCTTCTCACCAAATGCAAATAAGCCAAATGATTTCACATATAAACTGCTGCACATAATGAGGGTAATTACCATAAGTCATGTAGTTCAGGCTGAATATCATCTTAAATTCAAGACAAAAAGTTTTTATATATTATTATTAATTAAATAAGGATAATAAATTATTTAAATCTGAAAATAAGATGGAAGCCATTCAGGAAAGAGGAGAGGACACAAAATTTTTTTGTGTCTCAAAGCCTTTGCATGTGGGTAGGAAGTGTGTGCCAAACTTCTGGTAGAGATAAAAGAGCAAAGAGAGATGGTAGGAAATCAAAATAAGAGGTTGCATGTGGCAAAGAGAAGAAGCAAGGCTTTTGAGAAACAGTTTTAAGGAAGGAGTGTGGAAATGAAGGTAAGAATACAAATTAACTGGGATAGAATATGGACACATATGGCCAGGAGGGACAAAAACTGAAAGACAAATAATCAAAGTTAATGGCAGCTTCTAGCAAGCCTTACATGTCACCATGTAGGGTGGGGTTTCTGCTGCTTTATATTTTCAAGACCTGCAGGTCTTGAGACAATGCATCTGAAGGACAAAAAAATTGCAGCCAGCATCCTAATGGTTAAGCAATGATTTTATTGTGAGAACTCTGCAAGATGAACTTGCACTCAAATTATCTTTTTGCACATGCATGAAGATTGCAGTATGTTTCTGAACTCTGAAGTTTAAGGTTATTGTGCAGTTACTCAGGACAAAATGTTTGCTGAAAGGGGGAACAGAAAAAAAAAATCAATCCCAACAGATTAGGATTTTAGCAGAGGGTAGTGTTTATTAAGGGAATCAAATCTCCAAAAGCAGGTGGTCATTTATTAGCTGGTAGCAGTTGGAGTCAATGATGTAAGAGTCATTGCAATGGTATTTTTAGGTGACCTGGGGAAAGTATTCAAAACCACCCTTTTTCTCAGCTCACAGATGACCATCTCAACATATGCAGCATTTAATGCTATTGTTCTGCTGGTTTTATATCTTGTTGGATATGAAACATCTCTTTAATATCTTACTGACAATCTAAATGGCCTTTTCTACAGTTTCTATTGACCACTTGCAAAAGTGGCCACTTTCATCTGTGCACAATTTGGTCTACTCTGCAACAGAAATCAGTTAGGTATCACCTTGGATGGTTTGCTCAGGATGTTCATCCACAAATATAAACATAGAGATGTGCAACAGGGAGCTAATGGAACTGTCTAAAACTCCCAACCAAGAGCTTCCTGTAATAGTAAAATATTTAATTGTGAAGATTCAGTGGAAGACCTTGTATGTCAAAACAGTTGCACCTGCTGTGTAAGTGACTGACTGGGGAGTTGCTGGGTCATATAGAGAATTAATAACTGAAGTGTGCTGCATGTGCACATAGCTGCAGCCCTGATATTATGCTACCCTGTAATTTGGACTAAAGAATGAACTTGATTTTTTGTCCTTATTACTTAGTTATCATTTAAGTCCTGTGACTATTCCCATAAGCTCAGGCAGGGTCGGTATATATTTAGGTTAAATGAAAGCATTGGGTGGGTTTTGGTTGGTTGGTTTGTAATCATATTAGCAATATTGTCTTTTGTCAGATATAATTTGTTTTTCCCCTTTTTTTTTAAGAATGATTTATCTTTGAGGTACCATTTCCATAAAGCACTCTGATTGCACTTCAGATCCAAAATTGTTTGGTATATGAGTTGTTTTTTTCCTCATAAATCTCAGATTTTTATGAGGGAAATAATTCTGGTTAACTTTAGTTATAATGTACAACACAAGACCTAATATGCATTTGTAAATAGGCAAATGTGCTGTTTATATTTGCATAAAATCCTACCCTGGCAGGTAAAACAGCTACTAATCTTATGCAGCTTCTGAAAAGAGCTTACAGAACTCCTTTTCACTTAAGTATATAAAATCAGAAGTTTTTGGGAAATTAGTGCATTTCTTGCACAAACTTTATGTTAAAATATAATTTTACAAATATTCTTAATACTTTTCTGTAATATGCTCTGTCTTTGAAGTAATGATTAGATCTAGCTGAAAAAAATTCTGCTCAAATAATTTTTTGATCCTGGAAAGATTCAGTTACAATATAACATTTTTATTAAAAAAATACATATTTTATCAAGGATAATCCCAGTTTATATAGAAAAAGCAAATTTATGTAAAGGAAAATATTGTTATTTGGAAAAACATAATTGGAGGTCATATACCAATCCCCTCCATAGATTAGGATCTACACCCAGACTGGTTTTTATCTTGCACAGCTAGCCAAATATTTCATGATACATTATTTTCATCACAAAGAGATGATATTGTGATATTGATTCAGAGATGCAGCTCAAATGATATGAGAAAGGCTGTCTGAGGAATAGAAACTAAAATTCATAGGATATAATTTTTGAATTCTACTCAGAACTCTTTATTTTTATTTTCTGGTTGGTTTTGGGTTTTTTTGCCCCACTCTTGACATGTTCCAAAATCTTCCTTTAGGAAACACTCAAGTCTTCAGACTGAAGCAACCCCTGATGTACAACGGAAGTTCGGCTAAGCACTCAATTACATTTTGAAGAATCACACCTTCTTTAAAAAGGAACCATAAATTCCAACTTATGATAACTTTATTATCCCCATCCTGTTACTAATGTATTCATGATCACAGCTCTTTAAAAATTATTTTATGACAGGATTACTCATCAGCGTCTAACACACTCTTGCCTAAAAACAACAGCATTTTTAAAATATTTACCTAAGACTAATGAGGACTTCAATCCTAAGCTCTGCTTTCAGCAAATGTGTAGGCTTCTGTTCCAAAAATAAATGTGAAAAGAGTTGTTAAATATCTTATTAAAATGATGACATTTGGAAGATTTTAATTTTTTTGAGAAAGAAACGCAATTGCATATCACTTAAGGGTGTCAGTCTAAAGAAGTATAAAATTGAAACAAGTTCTGCATGCCAATAATCATGCAAGCATAGAATAGTTTGCATTGAAAAGGGACCATGAAGATCATTTAGTTCCAATTCCCCTGCAATGGGCAGGGACATCTTCTCTGACCCAACCAGGCTGCTCTGAGCCAAATCAAACCTGGCCTTGAGCACTTCCAGGGACTGGGCATCCACAACTTCTCTGGACAACCTGTTCCAGTGCCATCCTGAAGCCTAGGTAAATTAAATCTGTAGCTCTTACACCATGAACTGATGTAGTTGCTCCACCATAAAAAGCCACTAAGTTGGTCAGACAGGATTTTCTCTTGCTGAAGCCATGCTAGCTGTCTTGAACCTGTGGTCTGAGTTAACCACTGTATGTGCACAAACCAAGTGGCTTTGTACCAAAATAAGCCCTTCCAGTCATGTGCTTAGAAAGAAATTGTGAAACTGTGGGTTGCTCTTAAGCAGCTGTGGCATTTCTGTTCTGCAGATGACCTTCTGAAGATTTACCAACCAGTTTTAATAGAAAGACTTAGGAAAATAGATCATAACTGATTGCCTTTTTTTGGAACGTGATAATATTTGACTTCAACTTGTGATGTGTTGAAAGCAAAAAATGGGACAAAGAAATGAATATCAATGACAAATTATTAACAGTCTTGGAAAGCCAGATTATTCAGAGCTATAAATGGTCACTAGCAATTTAATAAGGAGGCAGATAGGCTGGTCTGAAGTTTCCTTTCAGTACATATTGCATGCAAAAAATTTGAATGGCTAGAATGTGCTGAACATCATAACTGGAAAGACAAGCTTTTATTAAACCTCAGGATAAAAAAATGCTCCATAAGATAAATAACAATTTAACTACACAAGTTATATCCCAGAAAATGGAAGAATACAATTACATGTACAAAACACTAGTATTTACAGTTCGGTACAAAGTATTTATTTTTGATCACACTATAATTAGTCAAATAGTGTCTAACTTCTTGTGATAGCATTCACAAATATATTTCTATGTGCAGTTTTTATATTCATATTTTGTATGTGCAAAATAGATTTCATAAAGGTAAAATCCGCACTCCATATCATTCATAAATTTGCAGTAAGTTGGGAAATATTTTTTGAATATACAAGTTTAAGAGTTATTTCTTTTTAAAGAGTAAAACTACCTCATTTTCCAGAGATGTTTTTTCTTAATCTAAAAACAGAATAAAATAAAAATATACCATTCCTCTATCATGCCATTGGCAGGGCAGGGTTAATTTTTTTATGGTAGCTGGGAGGGGCTGTGGCCACAGTCTGGATGCAATTCTGTACCACTTCATGTGCATGCTAGTGGGGAGAAGGGCCAAAAAAACCATGGTGGACAGAGCAGTCCAATATTTGCTAATTGCAAAGGACTTTCTGTATGAATAGTTTCCTTTTCTTATACCATTTTCATTAATATTGTTGTTACTGTTTGTTCTCTTATTTCATTGCTCTTTCCAATAAATTTTTATTGTCTCAATGCATGATCTTTGTATTTTTGCCTCCAGTTGGAGGGTGGAGAATGCTGCACATGGTTTTAGCTGGAGTACTACACTGAAGAACAAGCATTTCTAAACCATGAGATCTTGGAAGGGTAAAAGGCAGAAAGTTTCATAGTTCTTCTTAAGATTGTATAGTTATTTGCTCATAACTTGGCAAAACTCTCTCTCAGGGACTCGTAACTTGGGAGCACTTCCCATTCATTTGGTTGGCATTAAAAAAACGAGAGTTTAAAATATAAACAACCAGCATATTATAATGGTAATAACACAGAAAGAGAACAGGTTAAAATTCAGAGGAAGATTTCACAGTCATTTATGCTCCAGAACAGAAGAAATAAAAAAAAATGAGTGGATATGCAATCCATGGCTGCATCTTAGTCTCACATATGTTTTGGAAAGAAGCTAATTCAATGTGAATTCCTGCTTTTTGAAATTTATGGGACAATTTCAAACAGAAGTGGAAATGATGATACAGTCAAGAGGGAAACATGAAAGTAATATAAAATATCTTAAAAACAGTAGTCAGAGGCTTAATAACTGGGCAAATGGGAAAAATTCACATCTGGATGTGTATATGCACAATAAATACTGAGAAATAAATTGTATATGATGTCAAAGTGAACAAATGAGATACACTGGAGACTTTCAAAGGTACAGCAGGCCAGAGCAGGACTGCTGCCACTGACAGATCAAGGGCTTGATTCATTGTGTATGGCCCAAAATATAGGCCACATTTTCATTCACTGTCATGGCTGCTCAGGGGGAGATTAAATTGCTGGAAACATACGGTCACTTCAGGTGCAGATCTCCTATGTAGAGATGTGTGCATGGTTTTTGAATTCTGAGAAGAAATTATTAAAAATGGAAGATGCCAAATATAACAGCTTATGTTCTGGATGTGATAGCTACACTGGCTCCCCACCAGATATTCACTAACAATGAGAAATTAAATTATTTTGGTGTTGGTTTGTCAAAGTTGTGGAGGCATAGTCTGGTGCATAAACCAAAATGATGCCAGTAATCAAGGTTCACCAGTTTTAATTAAAGTGAAGAATAAACAAATATCCAGTTGTCAAAGGGCATACTTTGGAAAACAAAAGAAGCAATCTGTTAAGCCAACAAGACTGAAAACAATGAAAGGATTTGTAGAAAAATCTTGGAATGATTTTAACTAAGAGATGTGAAAAAAGATCTGGTATTTTTTAACCCTGAAAAAGTGCTGAAAAGACAAAGGTTCACATCACTTTTCTTAATAAACACTTTAAACAAGAGGTCAGAGAGCAGAAGAGAAGCAGGAGTTTCAGTAAGGATTTTGGGTTGCATTTTTGACATAAAATAAACTATCCGTACGTATTCCTTTGTAGGTACTTAGAAATTGAATATATTGTGGGTTTATATGTGTGTTTATATTGCCAAGTTACCTGAAGTGGGGACATTAAAAATTTCATTCTTGAAACTTACAGGAATTTTGCAGTTTTTGTGATCTCTGGAAAATGTCAAATAAAACAACCAAGAGATGCAAAGACTTTTAGAAAGTTGCACTGGCAAATACATAGTGAAAAAAATGGAAAATCATCTCATTTCCTTAGGACGCTAACTTTTCTGAAGGTGAAGTCAGATCAGAAAGTAAGGAATGAAGTAAGAAAGGCAAAAAAATTACAATACTAAACATTGCTAATTAAAGTAAAATAAATTGCATATTTCCTTCAGACATTAAAACTGAAAGAGGAAAGCAGAAGGGGATCCCAGCTCTTGTGTAAACTGGAATGAGTCTAACCAGATTTACTGTGGCTTAAAAACTGAAGCTATAATTTGCTTCTATAATTTATTTATAACTTTCGGCTAAAGAAGTAAACCAAAACATGGAAAATAAAAATGAAGACATGTATATGGAATTCTATCTGTCCAGATAGAAATAAATGTAGAGAAGAACTCACTGAAATAAAGAGAAGTGGGCAAACTCTGTCCCACAACTCAGAAGTTACTGGGACATCCTATTTCATCTGATACAAAATTGAGTAAGTTTGCCGAGCATCAAGTGATAAAACGTGAGTGAAAAGACAAAACCACTGTACCTAAAAATGACCACAAAGTCATCTTAGAATTAAAAAAACTATTCACTTTAACCCAATAATATGACTAATACCTCTGCCGCACCTTGACTGGCAGCATCAATTACTAAAAATTCAGCTCAAGTGTTCTAACAGAAATCCAAGGTAATTACAGTAAATTGACAGGATACTTAATGAATTATATTTTTTTCCAGTTGAAAAGAGAGAATCAATGGCTTACAAAATAGTTGTTCTGTCTCTTTTCACTGAAAGAAGGAAAGGAAAAGAGAGACTAACAAGATAAGATAGTACGCACTAAAACAATCTACAAGCCACTATGCTTGCCTGATATTTGGACCAGGTGTTGGCTCATGACAAGAAGCAGACATGACACAAGTGTTAAACATATATTTTCGTATCCTTTCTTCAACATGTAAGGAACATTTTTTAGGGGGATTGTTCAGGTAGAAAAACAAGACTAAAAAGATTTATTTCAGTTCAGATTGACTTAAACATTTGATGAACCACATTTTCCAGCTTTACTCTGAAAGCACAGAATATTGTTCGCTACATTGCTTTTTTTGTTCTTTTCTCTACAGACCCTATGAGTACTTGTCATAGTTTGAAGTCAGGCATTCACTAAGAGCTTAAAAAGCATTTGGGAAAAGTTTGTGTGATTAATTTCACGTCATACATTATTCTGTAAAAGCAGGAATATCAAATCAATATTCACTATTTTAACTATCAATCTGTTAAAAAAAATATCTTAGAAATAGCTCTGCTATTTGAAAATTCTTTACCTCAGATCTTGTTTAGCTTCCAACATTTCAAACCAATGGAAACAATCTCAATTTTGTCATTTTCTAACTACTTAATGTTTTTATTTTTGTTTCTTAATAGCAGAGTAGGAACAGAGAAATTGTATCATGTGGTATCATATCAACAACTTCATTTTTAACCAACAGGGTAAGAAACCTTATACCTCTTGGTAACTGAATATAGTAAATAGTACTGGAGTATCTTAGTTCCTACCAGTGCTGTAAATAATTTCTTGATGTGTCTACATTGCTTAAAAAGGTGCAGGGACAACAACGTCCTACCAAACCAAGCAGTACAGAACAATTTCCATCATTACTTAGATCACATTCCCTTTGGTGCATTTGTTTCAGACAGAACACTCTGGAGCCATCAGAACAGGAGGTGAGTAGTAAACTCCCAGTGAGACACTGAATGATCAGAGGGCCAGTTCTTGAACTCAAACTGGTCCTCCTCTATTTAGCTGTATAAATAGGAGCCCATTCTGGTCTGGGTTCTCCATGCGGTCACAACTTCCAGGGCACATATACCTGCTCTTACAAGGGGTCTTCCATGGGTTGTGGGTGGACATCTTCTCCAGGGACTGGAACACCTCCTTCCCTGCCTTCTTCACTGATCTTGGTGCTGCAGGGTTGTTTGTGTCACATATTCTCAGCACTCTCTCACATTTCCTATTACAGAGTAGTTTTTACTCCACCACCGGAGGGGTCAGCTTTGGCTCTCAGTGGGTCTGGTTTGGATCTGGCCTGCATTGGGTCTGTCAGACATGGTGACAACTTGTTTTCACAGAAGCCACCCCTGAAGATCCCCTTCTACCAAAACCCGGTAACATAAACTCAATTGCAAAGATTAATAGTTTCTTAGATATTTTGAAGGGTGTATATATAAGTAACAAAGCTGAACTGGGAATCAAAATAGGATACATTGCAGTGCCTGATACTTGTGTGCCATTAAATCTTACGGCAAAATTGTTCCTACGTACATAGGATGTGCCACCCCTTGTACTGTGGCATGTAGTGGTCTTTTAAACTCACAGGGTATTTATAGATTTCTTGCTGTCAACAGTCTAGTTAAAAATCAGTTCCAGAACCTGACTAGTTTAATGTTAAAATCATTCTTCTAATAATGATCTTAAATGCATTCATGGTCTGTCTGTATGAAGTGATTCATGATATAACAATCACTTTTTGAGTGCCTACTTTATGCTACCTGATTTTTCAAGATGACACATACAAACTCAATGATGTTTAATGAGTGCAGTCAAAAAAAGATGAGCACTAAAGATTAATTATAGACTGCATTGAATAGTCCATTTCTTCCTTTCCTAACTTACTGTTTGATACCTCAAGAAATTAATTGAAAAAATTATATTCCCCAAATGCAACAGTACTCCAAGTAAACACTCAAGTGAAGATTCAGTCAAGGGCAAACTTTCTAAATAATCATTACATTGTTGCTCTTGAATTCTGAGAAAAAAGTCTATTGGCTTGACATTACACATTTTTTTTTAATATTCATTGCACCTCCTTTTCAAGGTTATAGGGTCAACTAGCTAATCTTAGTGATTCTGCAATCAATATTGAAAATGCTGAGTTGTGTTCATGTGGGGGTATTTGAGTTTTGTTTATTTTTTCTTACCAGAACAATATCCAACAACAGCAAGCTGTTTGGTTGAATTAGTATGATGATAGAGAATTCACAATTTTTTATTTTTTTTTGCGATGGACCATTATATATAAATTATATGCAAATGCATATGCTCAATGAATCAGATAAAAAAATTAAAAACCCTATTAATTAATCTAATGTAATGTAATCTAATGTAATGCCCATCCACTAGAAATATATCCTTTGTAAAGCCACAGACATGTTTCAATTGTCTCTAGTTATGAGTGTTTTGGTGTTCCATGACCCAGGGAAAGGGGAGGCTAATAATCTGCATCCATCCATAGTACATTGAGTTGTGGTTTTATTAAGGAATGTGATAAGGACAGTTAAAAAAAACAAATATTCAAAAAGTTTAAATTGAAACTTTGATTATTGACTGAGATTATATTAGGGCACCACTGTTCTTTTGAAGGTGCTATGAAATAGGAGAATTTTTGTAAAAATCTGCTTGCAAAGGGCTGCAATGAAGCAAGATGTTGCTGGTGATACAATTTATTTGGAGGTATCACCCTCACCTAGTGTTCCCTGTCTGTCTTTCCTAAAGTGACTGTATCCTTTCATTCCCAACAATCTAGTCACAGGGGTAATTCCACCATATCTCTGTCATGTCAATGAGATCACAGTCCTACAGGCATGCACATGCCTCTAATTCCTCATGTTTATTCCCCCTGATGTTTGCCTAGAGGCAATTTGGACCTCTCCCTGCTGGCTGGAGTGGCTGGAATTCCTTTGTGCTTCTCTTCAGGTGCTCTCCTGATGACTTGCAATTTCTTCCCACTCTCTCCTCATCTCTTCTTGGCCCTGGCATTAAAGTGGTAGGAGAGGGATGGACTGAGGGCTGTTTCCTCTGGGAACTTTACTGTTCTCTTCACTATGAAAATTCAGACATCTCTTGTAACAACCAAATGTAAAAATAGTGTAATGGAACGTTTATAATGTCAATTATTTTAATAAATTACTGATGGTTTTTTCTGTTTCAGAAAGCAACAGTTAATAAGTCATTTCATGAAGTTGCTGAAAAAATAGAAATTTTACAGAATTTGTACATACTTTAATTTATATATATTTATATATACATATATTTGTATTTATATCTTTTTCTCTATATACTGATTAAGAGTATTTTGGGCCATGATCCTCTATGTGAAAAAAATATCTCAAAATATGCCTTAGATGTGAAAAGATTAACAGGTTTTATAATAACTCCTGGACATGGACCCCAGACATGCTTTTGAGAGGGAAACAGATCTTTATAATGTGGTCTGTGGTCCTGCATATATTATGGATAATTACTTTTGTTACAGTTATAGATAAGGATTCATTTTTATTAGTAGAAATAAGCAAAAATTAATGGAAATAAATCTGTGAAAGTTGTGGAAAGTATGGTAACCATTTATTTTTAAAGAAATAATATGAATGTTTTGCAGCAGCTTTATTAAATAGTCAGCTGATCTGTACTCAAAGTTCACAAAAAATCGTATTTCTAAATGTCTGCCATGATGAATACAATATATTGAGTGTACAATGCAACTTCATTACTGTTTTGTATCTTTCTGTATATAAAGTAACATAAACCTCATGATCAACTTTCATTTAAAGAAAAAATATTTTCCGGATTTTCATCTTGTTATTGAGATTGTAATTTTCTTTCTTGCAGAAATTCACACTTTCTTTTTACTCAATTAAACTGTTAAATTTGATTCCTATGCCAAATCTCATGCCTCTGAATAAATGTGAGAATCAGCTTTGGCACCTCTTCTGCACAGCGTACAAAGGTTTATAGCATTATCACCTGCAGTCAAGGTCTTCACATTGCTGCAGTTTCTGTTTAAATGCTTATAAAACTAATATAGAGTAGAGTCATTCTCTCTTGATCTCCATTAAGCCTGACATGCTTAAACAGATGAATTGACTTTCATATTATTGTAAAGCCAGGTGGTAAAAACCCATTTGATCTGATCCTTTATAGAAAGTAGAGTAGAATGGGACTACAGTTTATGAAATGACATATTTCAAAATAAACACCTGAAATCAGATTTGATGTTCAAAAGTCAAGGGTCATTTTCAGAAATACTAAAAATTTACCAGTTTGGATACAGAGTATCTTGAAGTTCTGGAAAAACAGAAATCCATTCTTTGAAAGACAAGGTATATTTCAAACACTATATAATCTTACCTAGACTGAATTTTCTACAATAACCTAGAGAGGCAATGGTGTTTGAATGTAAATTTTCATGGGTGACACACACAAAATATAATACACCTGTAGGTATATTCTATACCTATCCTATAAATATAATCTTAGTGCACCCTTGTTGTGGTCTCTGTAACACTTGTAATACACCTAAGTGCTTTTTTTTTTTAACTTTTCCCTGGCTGACAGACCTACCCAGACTTGGACCTAAAAGCAATTCCCCATAAGCTGTAAATTAGTGTGCCACTAAACCACTGAACCCTCCGTGACACTATCATGATTTTAAACACAGCTGAAAATCAAGCACCACACAGCTGCTTGTTCAACCCCTCACTCTCTCCCCTCACACCCCAGGGGAAAGGGAAGGAGAATCAAAGTAAAAATTGTATGTTGAGATAAGAACAGATTAATAGTTTAAAATAAAATAAAATACAGTAATCATGGTAAATGTTAATAAAAAGGGAAAATTAAGTGATGTGGAATGCAATTGCTCACCACCTGCTGACCAGTGTCAGAGCCCCTTTCCCAAACCCAGAGAAGCTGCCCTTCTGGATAACTCCCCCAGTCTACATACTGGGCAGGATGTTCTGTGATGTGGACATCCCTTTGGTCAGTTCAGGTCACCTGTTCCAGCTGTGCTCCCTCCCAGTTTCTTTTGCATCCTGCCTCACTGTCAGAGCATGAGGCAATGGAAAAACATCCTTGTCTTAAGACAAACACAACACAGCTAAAAGCAAAAACATTAGCATGTCATTAACACCATTCTCATTCCAAAACAAAAACACATCACTGTAACAGAGAATGAGAAGGAATTACCTTTTTCCCATCTGAAACCAGGACAGACAGTTGGGTCTGAAGAATATTGTCAATATGGGTCTAGTCAATTGTGCCCTCTGTTACATAATGGAACAGGTTTTTGATGGGAATGTTAGATGGTAAGGATCACACACTTAGATTGGTTTTATTCTCCAAAGTAAATTACTTTTATATCTAGTATTTTGATTTTACCAGGACCCATAAGTCATTCCTGCAAAGTTGATTTCTACTCAATGAGATCTAAGCCTTGTCCTCCCAGCTGGTCAGACTCAGCTGTGGTTAATCCCACTTTGAGAAGTGCTCCTCTAAGCAAGTACTTCCAAAATTTGGAAGCTTTGCATTATTCTGTGTTTGGCTTTTTCTTCAGCTGCTGGTACTGGGCCAGGTACAGCTGCATCACCTCCTCAGGTCCCTGCTTTGGGGTCAAACCCTGGCCTCACCAGTACAGCTGCTGTGGCCTGGAGGAATGGAATGAAAGGGTGAGGTTTAGCTACCTTAAGAGCCAGAGCACAGGTGCCAGGCTGGAAGTGCAGCCTTCGACTACAGTAGCAACTGCTGTGGCAACTGCCAAAACTGTGGAGAGCCTTCCAGAACCTTCCAATGGCTGCCAGAGAGCAGATCCTTCCAGGTCCCTTCCAGCTGAGATGATTCTGGGACCTGCACCATGGCACCAAGCCTTGTTTTCCCTTACCTTTTTGTCCCTTTGTCCTCTGCAGGGTCGCATCATATAGATGCACAGCCTAGATGTAGTTCCCCCAAGGTCAGCGCTCCTTGCTGCCCATTCAGGTGTCCTCATCCTCCAGCCAGGGCCTCACTGGCTCTGGGAGGGAATCCAGCCGGCCCAAGCCTCCCTCCTGCTCTTTCCCAAGTGCAGTTTCCCTTGCATTGCCAGGCAGTATTCAGGAGTCAGCAGAAACAATCCCACTGAACTGTGCAACGAGGCCTCCACCCTGGGCACACCTGTGATGTCCCCACCCATCCCAGAACCTCCTGTACCTTGGCTGGCCCATCCCATCCTATCCCAGAGCTCCACAAGCCTGGGGCAGGACAGCCCATCTGCACTGCCTTGCGTTGCACTGCATTTATCCGCCAAGCTAGTAATTTTATCATGGAATATTATCAGGCTGCTCAGGCATGGCTTCCCCTTTGTTAACCCATGTTTATGGTTTCCAATCACTGTCATGTCCCTTGTGTGTCTAGAAAGGTTTTCCAGGTTTATTTGCTCTATCATCTACCCAAGGACTTAAGCAAAGCCAACTGGCTTGTGGTTCCCCAGCCCTTCCCTCTTCCTCTTCATGAAAATAGGATTGATATCTGCTTTCTCATAGTCCTTAGGAATCTCACCCAATCACCATGGCCTTTCAAAAATTACTGAGAGTGGCCTTGCAATGATGTCAGTCAGCTCCTTTGACTTTTATGGGTGAATCCTAAGTGGAGTTACTTTCCTTGCAAACATAGCTTATTAAACCAAATAAATAAATAAATAAATAAGTTATATCAGTGTATCATAAAATGGAGCTCAACTTTCAATACAATAGACTCTGGACTGAAATATTTTCTTGCTTCTTCATTAAACAACATTCAATCCCAACACTTTAAATCCAATTGTGCATTTGCACAGTAGAACAAAACCAGAGCTTAAAGTTGCTATGGTTTCCTAGCAAAGGATAAATGACTGAAATTATATGGGCTTCAGAAAAAAAATGGTGATTTTACAAGGGTTTTTACGTTTGTTTGCTTTTTTGCTTGTGAATATTAGCTGAATGACCGTTTTTTTTTTTCCTCTCACTGCCTCAAGGATTTCAGGTGCCTGTCTCAATGCTGTGGTAGCTAATTCTGAGATAAACTGTCCTGATGACCCCTCCTCAGCCCACTGCTTAGTTCCAAGGAGCAAAGCCCCTGACATTTTAGTTTTACATGTGATCTGTTTGACTACTGTGTGCTTATGGCATCCAGCAGAAGTGGTATTGTTTATTCAGCTCCTGCCATCGTAAAATTTACAGTGGAGTCCAGCAAACTGGGATATGTTTGTTCTCACTAAATGGTACTTGCTTTTCAATGCAGAAGCTGTGTTGTTGCCGTTGACAACCACAGCCTGCTATTAGCATGCAACCATTATGTTGCAGAAGTATTGAACACCAGATGAAAGTGTTATTTGCTGTTAATTTGTAAACAATGCATAGCATGAGCATCAACAAGGAAGATTTTCTAGGAGGAAAGAAGGATTTAGGTGCCAAAACCATTGTAGATTCTGTCAGGCTTAAGTTGTCAGACATAAAAATACACATATAGGAAAACCATTTTAATTATCATGATAGATTATGTAGAAATTTTACAAATTCAGAAAGAGTCTGCAACTTCCAACTCCATTTTGTCATTTAACTTTGGACTAATTAAACACCAACAAAATTATACCAAGCAACTTTTATGAAATGTTCATTAATAATTCTCCTGGTAGAGGTAGTCACATCATAACTGAATGCCAACCCTTCATTAGGGACTGGAAAAAAATTTCCCTAATAGAGAAATTAACTAAAATGCCACAGAGTGTTGTTGGAATTTTTTAACTGATCATGTTGAAGTCACTGATGGTACAAAGCTACCCTCAGTGGGATAGAGGAAAGTTGATAAATTTTAGAGCAACAAAATCTCATAAATTGTCCTTTGATTTGAGGCAACTAACTTTTAATTGGTGGTAGCAGTTGGAATTATAAAGCACTAACAACCTACATGTTTAGAATTTACTTAAATAATGTTAGAATTGGAGAATGGCAATGAGTTGAGTCACCTACCACTACAAACTGCTCCAAATCTTGGCCAACTAAACACATCAGAACATTTCTCTACATTTCAAAAACACAAAAAAATACATTGGCCAGACTAATTTATCAGGTTTCTTGTGATTTTTAAATATTTTTATGCACCTAAATGGAATTATATTAGATAAAGACCAAGCTTTAGAGCTACTCTAGATAAAATTATGAAATATTGAACAACTAAGGTCAGAAGAGTTCAAACTTTTCAAAATATTCTTCTATTTACCTCAGTGGACTTAAGATAATTTTCACCTAGTGCATAAAAAAATGAATACAAATCTGTCCTGAGGTGATCATCCAAATCTTTTCAGAAGCTAAGTTATCCTCTTCAATTCCTCTTGCTAGCATTTACCAGACTTTTGCTGATAATCACTCAGGGCTTACAATTTACTCTTATTAGAAGCTACAGGAATAGGTTCAAGAGGTGGTAGACAAGATGCTACATAGATGAAATTCATATTTGTGTCTGATTTCCAAAGCTCTGTTCAAGGAGGTCTGAAATGAGAGTCTCAGAGTAGGCAATGCACCATCTTTGTGATATCCTCTGTCCTGTACTCACTCCTTGGTGTATCTCTGGAGATACATGTGATCCCCCAAGTCGGGTCATTGGCCAGTAGTATGGGGCTATTTCTTCATTACCATCAGATAATTCTTAACCTTGAGCATTTCCATGGGATTCATCCACATCCTCTGCAAATACTGTGGTTAGTTTATCATCTTGCCCACATACCAGGTCACTAGAAGTTGGCGTTGGTACATATTTTTCTAAGGACTTGAATATCACAGGATACTGTAGGTCATATAAGCACATCCTTCAGAATTTCCTAAATATACCACAGTGCATGTCTCACATATGCCATGACAATGTTGGCCATCTGGAGTGATTGTTTTACTTTGCAGATCAAATTTGGAGATAAGATACTAGGTTCTGTGCACAGGATATGTAATTCTGTCCCAGTTCCAGCCTTTGCCGGAATTCTTCCCTGATGTCTGTTTTCCTCAGACACAGGTAAAATCTCTGTTGAACTCTCTCTGCATATGATCATCCCCCTCACAATCCAGGTAACATGCCATCCAAAACTATGAGAGTAGTCAAGGTAGCCTTATCTGGGTTGTGCTTGAAGAATATAGCATATTATTATATGTTATAATTATATTATATATATATAAAATTATAATATATTATTAATATATAAGCCTCTTCCAGGAATGCTTGTTATGAGCTGGTTTCTCAAGATGGATATTAGTCAAAGTGTGTGTTCCTCAGGAAAAGGTTCATGCAGTTGACAGTGATGATAGAATCAGGTGTCTGATTCTACTGGACTATTGAACTCTGACTAAATGCATGTGCCTCATCTGCAGTGGTGTTTAGACATGTTGTAAATTCCTAAAGTAAGGTAGATGAATGACACTCAATGAATGACATTACATTAATACAGCAGTTGGCCAAATGGGACATTGATAACAATTTTAAAAATATTTTCTGCTCTAGAAACCCTAATGCATATAAGGATGGGCTTGTGATGTCTAAGTAATTTCTTTTTTATCACTTATAATCTAATGAAAGCAAAAACCAAGCAACCCTTGTTGGTGGATAAGGAGTATGGAGATTACAGGAAATAATTGGAATTACTGAAAGTGATAGTCTGAAAGTATGAGAGTTAACTACTGACACATCAAAGGAGTCTCTGTCAGCAATCATAGTGGCAGCTAAGAAGGAACAAGAAGTGGATTCTTCTGATCTGAACCAAGGCTTCAAACTGTACCCTGTCAGTAAAATCCTGGGTGGTGGAAAAAGTTGTGCCTACTCTTTGCTGATCAAAGTCAGAACAGCATTTGATTATGTAATAGATTTATTTCAAGACTAAGTTATTTTTATTGAATAAAATAGAGCTAGAATTAACAAGTACTATTAAAGAGGTAAATAAATCCTGAAGAATAAGTGAGGGACCGTATGACAGTAAATTTGGATCTGTTACGAATTCAATATGCACAATTGGAAAGAGGAAACATTTCAATTGATTTTGAAACAAATGGGCAACCCATAGAGTTTACCACATTGCTCATATAAGTATGTGCATGTTGTGAAATCTAGATGCCATGAAATAGTAGAAGGCTATAAAGAGAGCAGTTACAAAGTTAAATAGGATTAGAGATAAAGGTACTGCTTAAGTTTTCAGCAGGTGTGTAGTCATGAAAGTCAAAGATAAACCGTGCAGTGATGACAGAGACAAGTCCATGACCTAATGCATGGTCAAAAATAATACAAAGGTTAGAAAAATATCAAAGCTGATAGAATAATAGCACCAAGAAGAAAATTATGAAAGATTGAAGCATGATTTCCTTTGTTCTTTAATACCAAAAAAGTAATGATACTGCATTTCTAGCTGAAAATACCAGGTAAAAACAGTGTTAAGCTCCAGAGTGAATAACCTTACCTATTTGGAAAATTAAAGAAAAAATACATATCTCTGATTCTAAAACTCTCATTATATTGCCTAGTTTCACTTTAGTCTGTTAGGGTTCTTACCAATTTTATGTTTCTATTGTCTTTGAAATAAAAAAGAAAACTAAAAATGGGATTGAATGCAGCATGGATTTGCTAAAGTTTGTTGAAAAATGTTAAAGAAATAGAAGAAGATAAGTCATTCTTTTTGATAAATTATTTTTTAGACAAGAGAATTGTATTAGGATTCATGTATCTGGACTTCAACAGAAACAGCACCAGATGGAAATTATCAGCCTATGTGAAGAAAATGAAGATTTGTACTGGATAATTGATTATTTAAAGAACTGTTTGAGATGTTTTTCACCATATGTAATGACAGAAAGGAAACTGTCATAATTAAATGAGGCTAACTTTGGAATAGTTGACACGAGGAAGACAGAAAATTATTATTTAATGTTTTTACATGTAGGGGAATTTATTATTTAATTTTTTTTACCTCTTAATTACCTCACTTGACAACTCTTAAGTTGAGAAACCACTGTGAAAACAGAGGACTAATTAAATGCACTAGGAAAATGAGAATAATCTTGAGGAGCAAATCAGATTAAATTTAAGAGCATTAACTCAAAATTATCTGAAAATTTGATTTCACTTACAAATTATGAGATTTTCAATTGAAAAAGAAGAGGAGGAGAAAAGATTCAAGCTACCCATCTCCAAGTACAATGATATTTAGTTCAACTCTTG